TGAGTTTTTGAGTCAAGCAAATTGGTGCTACCGCTTGAAGCCACGGGTCAGGATTAGGCAACCAGCAGAAGTTCCCAGGGTGCGATAGTGGGCTCCCCAAGCACTGAGGGCGCGACACTATCGCGACCCAAAAGTGCGCGGCAATGGCGCTAAGGCCTTGCCCGCCGCGCTGCCCGCGCTGCCAGCGTAATCCACCACGGCATACGTGGTCTCTGCGTCCTCTCGCGTATGACGTACTATCTCGCGTTCTCCCTCTCCTCGCAGCGCTGTGTCTCTCCGTCGTACTACGGCCGGCCTCCTAAGGTGTTTTCTATGGTGCTTTTTGCTTTTCCTCACTAATGTTCCTCATTGCACCCCTTGCCTAATGTTTGAACAAAATAACGCATCAATTCAATCCTGAATCGTGCCTCTAACCTCGAATAGCTCATCGTAGCTACTTTAACCTGGGGCAGCTTCGTGATATCCTCGGTCAACCTACCAGAGGTCTCGATGATGTACCTGAGAACCCTCCTAATTCGTAGGAAGAATAAATCAGGAGAAAGAAAGACAACGCAAAAACTTAACCCCTCCATTCAGAAAGGTTATATTTTCTTTCAGAAGCTGTTTCATGAAATCGGACACCAAAATTTTGAAAATATAAATAGTTTTCTTCCTGAGGAGTATTTGAAATGTTGTGGATGTTCAAGTATTTCAAAAAATCGTCCCGTTGTTCCGTTTTCTGTGCACACGCGAGTTTTTGACATTCAAACATTCATAACTTTCTTCATAATCAACTTTTTGCAAATGTCTAAGGCTAATTAGAAACTAGAAGATTAGAGCTTTCGAACAAGCACCTGAAAATTTTCCAGCGATCATTTTTTCAAAAAATAGTCCCGTTGTTCCGTTCTTGGGTGGTTTGGGGTCCGATTTTTGAGAAGGCGCGAGTTTTCGACATTCAAACGTTAATAACTTTCTTCATACTCAACATTTTGCAGATGTCTAAGGCTAATTAGAAACTAGAAGATTAGAGCTTTCGAATAAGTGCTAAAACTTCTTGAAATAATCACTCGCTCAAAAAATAGTCCCGTTGTTCCGTTTTTTTTTCCATAGACTTTTTTTTCAAGCCCTTTCTTCTGAACCGCGACATTGCAATATTCAAGAACCCATAACTTCCTTCAAACTTCATAAAATGAGAAGCGGTAAAGACCGTTAGAATCTACGCGAAGAGTACTTTATTACTAGCGTTAACTTTTCATGGAATTCTTTCTTCTGCTTCAATTTCATAAGGGGTCTTTGAAATTCAATTCAGCAAGTTCGCTACATTTTGTTCCGCTTAGATTTGATTTAAAAGCATCAAAATTTTCTTGAGGAAGTTTGTCTGCTTACGGCCGCTCACAGAGAAGGCGTTTTTATGGGAAAACGCCTGCTCGGGTATACGCCGTGCACCTGTCTGTGGGTGGAAGTCGCACTCGCATTTGAAGGTCCTCCACTTTCCCGAAGAAGGTGATAGTACATGATCGAATTGCATTGTATGTTTTGCGGTACCATTGTGTGTTTTATGGTTTGATGGTTGTTTTACTTTCCCCATGAACTGCTCTACACAGTTGAATTTCAATCGATACGCTGGAAATTGGTTGACTTTAGCATAGCGCATACATTCATAATTAGCTAGGTCTAAATAGAAGTGTGCTGAAGACAGAAAGATTTTTTCACGATGTAGTAATTCATGCAGGGAGATCGGTACGAAACAGCCAAGCCTGAAATATGATTACTATTGAGTTTATGGTAACTTCATGTCTTTTGGGACCATTCCTCCCAGCCTTCACCCCCTGGTCCCTCTGTATGCGACCCCCCCCTTTCGTTCGGCCAAATGCGACCCCCTCGTTGTTCTTTGCGCAACGTAGGGTTGACCCTGTCCATAGGATGGGTTTTCGCGAGTTCGTTTCTCTTCCGAAACCAAACCTTCATTCGTAAAACTTTGTGTATTGCATCTAGTAGTCACGACTGATACATAAATTTTGAAAAGAATGCAAGAATTTTCCTTGAAGGATTCCTTTAACACTGCCTTAGCTGTAGAAGATGACGAGGATGAAAGAATTTAGATATCACAAAAACAGAAAGAAAAACAACGGAATGACGAGGAATGAAGCCGGTAGCATTGAGTCAGGATATACATGTCTAAACGCGTTCCAAGATCTAACCAGGCGTTAGCGAGTAAGTGACCACGTTTTGACCAGAGTACAATTTTGGACAAAATGCTCCCGTATACTTCAATCATGCCGATGGAACTCTATATTTTTTGCACAGTTCACTGAATCACTTGAAGATGGCTATACTGTCGCTTGTCAAGTACGAGCCAAAAACCTGAAATATCATCCTGCTGTGATCGTGTAAGTTTCCTACGAAGTATAATGATACTGCTGCTTTGTGGAGAATGCCCTCTTCCGACTACCGCTATAAAGCATCCGGAGTAATAAATAATAAAATTATCCTATATATAATGCGTTATCGTTAGGGATGACTTCTTTAATGACTTTAACTCACTTTCAATCTTACGGTTTCTCCAGAACTTTCTCAGTTCAAGGTTTCTCCAGCCGAGTGAAGTGAAGAAGTTATGGTGATTTCTGCTGCTGCTGTGACACTGCATCCACACATGCACTCACAAGTACAGCAAGCGCAAGTACAATCTGAGCTTTAGCTGCCATTTAAAGATTATAGTGGTGTTAGGAATGGAACACTAGCGAGGGCTGAACTATGTGCCTACTTCTCTCTCCTGGTTTTTATATGGTGGTTTATTAAGTTGACACATCTGGAATAGACCCGATACGGCCACGCGACGACGCGAAAAAAGTGTCACTTCAGCCGCTGCTCTATATGGCGCTCATTGTTGTGATCAACGTTTCAATGCCTATTGTGAATTTAATTATGCAATACGCAGACGTTTATAATAGCGAACGGGATTTCCGCGAATAATTATTCCTCTAAAATAATCGAGGCAACTTCTTGAAATGCAGTTCCACCCACGTAATAATTTGCGGCTGGAAATGAAATACTAGGTTGTTGGAAAAGTCTCAACGCATTAATTTCTGCATACCGTGGAATGTTTGGGTGTCTTGTTGGAACATTCACTGTTAACTGAACTGAATTCCGGCCAATGGTCTCTTTCACAGCATTGCTACCATAGCGTTCCGCGAAAAAATCGATTTTCGTTGAAAGAATCTCACGCTGCAGCTGCTCCCATCTACCTAGAAGGTGTGCCAGGAGCGACAA